CCCACCCCTCAGGATAAACCAACTTCAGTAAACTGCACAATGCCAGCATTGGCTGCATAACCTGCTTAACACCAAGTCCCACCCACCCTGTACTCTGCTGGTACTGCTTTTCTGGGGTAAGTTTGCCTAACGACCAGTGCCAGCAAGACCCCTCCCCTAGAAGACCAGCACAAACTCCCACACCCACCAAGTCTACTGACCATAGAGTTCTGCAAACTTCAATTCTAGTAGAAATGGCATTTGGTCCCTTTTAGCAAGCTTACTAGAGCACAGTTGGTTAAAACTTGCCACACTTCTGGCTAAGGTCCAAATGCTCCCCACTGTCAGCAACGAGAAACTCTGCAGACAGAGGACTGACCTGAGGGATAGAGCAGCCATAACATAGCAGCAGAATGCATGCAGCGCACACCAGAGACACTTCTTGAAGTGCCAGGCCCTGAAAATTATATTCCCTCTTCTTCATAAAGCCATTACTTTCAGGATCAGGAAACATAACAGACTTTCCTACCACACAGAAGACAGAGACTAAATGCCAAGACGGAGGAGTTTGTCTCAAAAGAAAACTTAAGTAAAGGTCATAACCAGGGATCTAATATGTCTCCTGAGGCAAGGAAAACAAAAGCAAAAATAGTCTCTTGGGACTTACATCAAGATAAAAGGCTTCTGCACAGTGAGGGAAACTGAACAAAATCAAAAGGCAACCTTCGGAGTGGGAGAAGATATTGGCAAGTGACATTCCTGATAAAGGGTTAGTATTCAAGATTATAAAGAACTTCTCAAACTCAACACCCAAAAAACAATCCAGTTAAAAAAATGTGCAGAAGATGGGGCACCTGGGTGGCTTAGTCAGTTAAACGTCTGACTTCGATCAGGTCATGATCTCACAGTTGGTGAGTTTGAGCCCTGCATTGGGTTCTCTGCTGTCAGCAGGAAGCCCACTTTGGTTACTCTGTCTCCATCTCTCTCTGCCCCTCCCCTGCTTGCTGTCTCTCTCTCATTCTTTCTCTCTCTCAAAAATAAATATTTTTTTGAAAAATGAGCAGAAGATATGAATAGACATTTTTCCAAAGGAGACATACAGATGGCTAACAGACACATGAAAAGATGCTCAACCTCACTCATCATCGGGGAAATGCAAATCAGTACCACAAAGAGATATCACCTCACACCTGTCAGAATGGCTAATATTAACAACACAGGAAACAGATGTTGATGAGGATGCTGAGAAAGGGGAACCATTTTACACAGTTGGTGGGAGTACAAACTGGTGCTGCTAACTCTGGAAAACACATGGAGGTTCCTCAGAAAGTTAATGGAACTTTATATAATTTATATCCTATTATAACCTATAGGAACTTTATAACTTTATATACTATTATATATATAATAGGATATTACTCAGGCATCAAAAAGAATGGAATCTTGCCATTTGTAACAACATGGATGGAGCTAGAGAGTATTATGCCAAGTGAAATAAGTCAGTCAGCGAAAGATAAATACCATGTGATTTCACTCATTTGTGGAACTTAAGAAATAAAACAGATGGGGGCACCTGTGTGGCTCAGTAGGTTGAGCATCTGACTTTAGCTCAGGTCATGATCTCATGGTTCATGGGTTTCAGCACCACATCAGGCTCTGTGGAGACAGCTCAGAACCTGGAGCCTGCTTCGGATCCTGTGTCTCCCCCTCTCTCTGCCCCTCCCTCGCTCATGCCCTGTCTCTCAAAAATAAATGTTAAAAAAAGACAACAACAGATGAACATAGGGGAAAGAAAAAGAGAGGCAAGGCAGAAACAGACGGTTAACTATAGAGAACAAACTGAAGGCTGCTGGAGGGGAGATGGGGGTGGGTATGGGCTAAATAGGTGATGGTCATTAAGGAGGGCACTTGTTGAGATGAGCATTGGGTGTTATACATAAGTGATGAATCACTAAATTCTACACCTGAAACTAGTATTACACTGATGTTAACAACTGGAATTTAAATAAAATCTTGAAAAAAAAATCATTGCCTTAGACACTTTCATGACTACAATTTGCCTTGCATACATCTGCATCTCAAAGGGATGTAAAAATTGTCAGGAACCACAGATTTTTAATTTCTCATAATTGTAGGAATTCATGAAGACAAAGGTTAGGAATTGCATGGAAAGAGGAAAATCTGATAAAGCAAAGAGAGACATAGAGTTCACCTGTATCCACTGAGCCTCCACCCAAACATCTTTGGTAAATCTTTCTAGTCTGCTTAGGGAATTATTTCTGATAGAATAAGGGATGTTAAGCAGAATAGGATTCAGAATTTTCATTTCGTGTTGCCATGTGTGCTACAGAATGAGGAATAACTGTCTTGTCCTGTAGTGAACAGTCTTTAGCTAAACATAGATAAATAATACTGTGACTGTTAGATATTCAAATACATACATATGCACATATACAAATGCACATAGTCAAGGTCCATCAGTCATATTTTTTTTCTTTCCTGCTGTACCAAGTCTTATGCTCTGATATTGAAAATCTAACAGATAACACTGTCTCCTCAAAATGGCTCATCTTTGCCTTTTTGCATGAGAATGTTATTGCATGAGAGCACCAGCAAGTGCAGAGTAACTGAGATATTGGTAGAGAAGCTCGCAAAGTTTGCTTTCCTTAGGTATCTGTAGATTATTGTCAGCCCAAGTATATTTCCTGTGCAAGTTTTTATAAAGTTTATGCATGCATACATTTTTTTGGGTCCATAACTATCTTAGTATCAATAGCCAACTAAGTAATCATAGTTAGGGGTGTCTGGGTGGGTCAGTCAGTTACGCTCTGACTTCGGTTTGGGTCATGATCTCGCAGTTCATGGGTTCCAGCCCCTCATCAGGCTCTGTGCTGACAGCTCAAAGCCAGGAGCCTGCTTTGGTTTCTATGTCTCCCTGTCTCTCTGCCCTGCTCCACTCATGCTCCATCTCTCTCTCTCAAAAATAAACAAACGTTAAAAAAATAACATTATATAAGCCATAAAATATATACTTTTTCATAATTTTGTGTAATATCTAAAAGAAAAGGTAAAATGAAGTGTTATGGCTGTAAATATATTTTAAAATTCAGCAGAGGACACAATACAAAATATTAGAGGTGCTGAAATTTGGACAAAAATGTAAACTATGTTTGAAAACATTTTATATATTATAGAACTTAATGAAATAATTGAAGGCATCCTAATGATGAAAGTTGCTGAGGAAGTCTTTGTTTTGTATTTCTAAAGCACATATTGCATTTGTGTAGCATTTTATTTTAGCATACTGTAGGCAGTATAAGTCCACAGAAAGTATAGTTGAGCTTAGTGTTTTATAGATAGTATAACAATGTAGAGCATAGCTTAATAGTAAATAGTTAAAAAAAAATATGTTGGACATCTTGCTTTTTCTTGTATCTATTACTTTCCCAAATTTAAGGTAGCTGTAGGTCTTTAACAAAGAGTGAAGGGTGAAGGAACTTACTAAAGCTGTCACTGTTACTTCAGTTGATAATAAAAAGAAGGACAATTTGATTAATGTGGAGAACTACATTTTTGTTTTGTTTTGATTTAAAATTTTGTTTTAATGTTTATTTTTGAGAGAGAGAGAGAGAGAGAGAGACAGACAGACAGACAGACAGACAGTACAAGCAAGGGAGGGGCAGAAAGTGAGAGAGATACAGAATCCGAAGCAGGCTCCAGGCTCTGGGCTGTCAGCACAGAGCCAGATGCAGGGCTCAAACTCACACACAGCAAAATCATGACCTGAGTTGAAATCGGATGCTTAACGGACTGACCCAGCCAGGCACTCTATTTTTTAAAAATTGTTTTTAATGTTTGTTTTGATTTTTAACATAGCAAATATATGGTGCTTTTTCTGCCTGTGAACTACTTGATTCACTGCAAATTAAAATCTGTAAGTTCTTTGGATTTCAGAAGGTGAATTAAGCATTGCTTGATTTTTTTCCCACCTCTCAGAATTCCCACTTCAGGATTGGCATAAAGTGAAAATTCCTCCAATAATATCCAAACCTTCTCATTTAGGATTTGGTATTGTATCATGTCCAAGTGAGTGTCAAATAAATGTTGTCTGGTGGTAATGAGAATAATTTATTTCATGAGGAATATTCTTTATGCTTATTACCCAGCACATTTCTTGCAATGGTCTCGGAGTCATTGGAAAAGAGAAACCTTGCGTGAATTTGAACTGTTACCATGTGATTTTTGCCAGTTATGCTATTATGAGTTTTACATGAATTTTAAAAAATTGATTCATTTGGCAAAGCTTAAAATCCTTTAAACACTGGAGTGGAATATAACTAATTTAAGTAGTGTATTTTAGAAGAGTAACATGCATTGAATTTGAATGAATAACACAGGGACTATCCAAACTTATGAGCTAGGTTTTGGAGTTTTATGAATAGGGCTTTTTCTGTATATATTTACGTACTGTAATTTTTGTTGAATAGCAGGATAATTGTTATTGCATAGAGTGTTACCATAGCATACTGAAAGTGTCTCTGTATCAGGTATGTGTTGTGTCAATGTGTGTGTTAAGTAGTTTTATTTTGTACTCCTGAAAGCATGAACTTCTAAACGTTTTCTTAGTTTCCTTTGAAAGTAAATTAATAATAAACTTCAAGAGGAAATATCACTAATTCCTTGGGGGTAGGGATCAGGAGATGGCATGTTCTGCCTCAGGATGTGCTTTGGGGAAATTACTTGAAAATTAAGGAATCTCAAGTAGAATAACTTCAAAATGCTTTACTATGACATGTTTCATAAGATAATTAAGTCTTGACATGTAAGGGCATGTGAATGTAGCATTCTAGAAGAAAAGTTACAGAAACTTTTTTTTTCCACAGTAAGGCTTCTGAATAGATAGTATGCATTAGTTGAATATTTGAAAAATATTGCCTAAAAATAAATATTGATGCAGTTACTAAAAGTTGTATTGTTTTCTCACTTTCACATTATTAATGTTATATATCCTTTCCTTTCAGCTGGATATGCCAAGTGACCAGATAGTGGCAAATCTGCAAGCAGTTATCAATGAAGTTTGTAAGCACAGACCACTCAGTTTGGGTGAGTAGTTTGCTGGGGTAGACTTTCCTATAATACTGTGTTTCTTTAGAAATGTAAACTATTGGGATGATTGGGGTGGCTCTGTTGGTTAAGCATTTGACTCTTAATTTTGGCATAACTTGTGATCTCACGGCTCACAGGATTAAGCCTCGCGTCAGGCTCTGCCGTAACAGCATGGAGCTTGCTTGGGATTCTCTCCTACTACCTCTCTCTTGCAAAATAAATTAATAAATAAACTTTAAAAGGTGTAAAATATTAAGAAAGCAATCAAGTTCATATGCAAGTACAATATACACCAGCAGCAGTATTTTCAGGGATTAAATAAATAAAATTTAATTCTCTGAAGGATTCCTAATTACCTTATTAACAAAATTTAATGTTCCAAAGGATTTCAAATTACCTTATCAACATGTTGCAGTTGCTTGGATAAGAGACCTCTTTTTTTTTAATTTTTTAAATTTATTTCTGAGAGAGTGAGAATGAGAGAGCACATTAGCAGGGGAGGGTCAGAGAGAGAGGGAGATACAGAACCTGAAGCAGGCTGCAGACTCCAGGCTCTGAGCTAGCTGTCAGCACAGAGCCTGATGCAGGGCTCGAACCCACGAACCGTGAGATCATGACCTGAGCTGAAGTCGGACGCTTAACTGACTGAGCCACCCAGGAGCCCCTGGATAAGAGACGTCTTTAACATTAATAAAAACAAAAAATCCTGAAATCTTTGTAAATTCCCACATTATTTCTATCATTAAATGTAATAAACTTTGAAAGAAAACTGTAGCTGATCACCTTAAACTTACAGTCGTGTTAAATACAAACTAAAATCATTTATGGAATGTTTTGAAGCCAGACCATTCACTTTGTCACTGGCATTAGCAATTGTCTTTCTTAATCTTATTTTAGAAAAGAACAAAGTTTTTAATCATGTCCTGAGAGTTATTTCTTATAAACAGTAATTCGTGGAGAGCAATGAAACTTGATCGAGATGTGGAAGATGTTTAATAGGCTAGGAACACCTACAGTGTCCTTAATATTGCACTATGTGCTGTGCATATTCTGTGCATATTTCATTCCTGGCTGGTTGTAGCCAAAAAAGGGTTCATTACACTCAATAGACTCTTCATTTATAGACTTAGCATTATAGGACTCTGTCAGGTTTAGTTTTATAACCAAGTATATAATTAAAACACAATCTTAAGCTATTTTTTATCTTCATTGGGAGTTAACCACACTAGTGAATAAATATCTCATTTGTTAATTCAGCTGTTGTAGATACAGCCATAGTACTTAGTAATTGTATGTGTATGTGTTCTTATATTCCATGAAGCACTTTGATTTCAATATAGGGTCTTCTGAGGCTGTCACAGGAGTGGAATGATGGAAATCTCAAAAAGCAATGTATTGTCTTTTGCCATTTTTAAAAATTGAGGTATAATTGACATACAATATTATTTTAGTTTCGTGTGTACCACATAGTAATTCAGTATTTGTGTACGTTGCAAATTGATCACCACAATAAGTCTAGTTACCATCTGTCACCATACAAAGTTAATACAATATTATTGACTGTATTCCTTGTGCTGTATATTACATCCCCATGACTTATTTATTTCATAACTGAATATTTGTATCTCTTGATCCTCTTCACCCACTTTGCCCCCTCCCCTTAGGCCCTTCCTCTGCTGGCAACCACCACTCTATTCTCTGTATCTATGAGACTGGGTTTTGTTTGGTTTTGTCAAGTTTGTTTTGTTTATTTTAGAGTTTACTTACAGGTGAAATCATTGATATTTGTCTTTCTGACTCATTTCACTTAGCATATTACCCTCAAGTCCATTAATGTCACAAATAGTAAGATTTCATTTTTTCATATGCCTGAGTAGTATTCCATTGTGTGTGTGTGTGTGTGTGTGTGTATATATCTGTGTACACCACACTTTAGTCATTCATGTATAGATGATCACTTAGGTTATCTTAGCTACTTAAATCTTAGCTACTATAAATAAATCCACAGGGAACATAGTGGTACAAATATCTTTTGAAACTAGTGTGTTCTTTTTCTTCAGATCGATACCGAAAAGTGAAATTGCTGGATCATATGATTGTCTGTTACTAATTTTTTGAGGAATCCCCATACTGTTTTCCAGTGTCTGGACAAATTTACATTCCCACCAACTGTTCATGAGAGTTCCCTTTTTCTCTACATCCTTGCCAGCGCTTGTTATTTTTGATAATAGCCATTCTGACAGGTATGAGTTGATAATGCATTGTGATTTTAATTTGCATTTCCCTGGTGATTAGTGATGTTGAGCATCTTTTCATGTGCCTGTTGGCTATGAAATGGGAACATGTCTATTTAGATTCTCTGCCCAATTTTAAATTGGAGTTTTAAAAAAATTATTGAGTTATATGAGTTCTTTATGAAATTTTGGCTATTAACCCCTTATCAGATAGATGATTTGCAAATACCATCTTCCATTCAGTGGGTTGCCTTTTCATTTTGAATAGTTTCCTTTGCTGTGCAGAGCTTTTTAGTCTGATATAGTCCCATTTGTTTATTTTTGTTGTTGTTGTTGTTACCCTTTTGAATCATCCAGAAAACCTGCTAAGACCAATTTTGAGGAGCTTACCACTTGTGTTTTCTTGTAGGAGTTTTATGGGTTCAGGTTTTGCCTTCAAGTCTTTAATCTATTTGAGTTAATTTTTGCATGCGGTAGGAGGTATTGATTTCCCTCTTTTGCATGTAGCTCTTCAGTTTTCCCAGCACCATTCATTAAAGACACCGCCTTTCCTCCATTGTGTATCCTTGCCTCTTTTGTTGTAAATTAATTGGCCATATATGTGTGGCTTTATTTCTGGGTTCTCTATTCTGTTCCATGAATCCATATGTCTTTTATGTTAATACTATATAGTTTGGATTGCTATAGCTTTGTAGTGTAGTTTGAAATCAGGAACCTTGGTATCTCTGGTTTTGTTCTTTCTCAAGATTGCTTTGGCTTTTCAGGGTCTTTTGTGGTTCCTTACAAATTTTAGAGTTATTTATTCTCTTTCTGTGAATAATACCACTGGAATTTTGATAGGGATTGCTTTAAATTCGTAGACTGTTTTGGGTAATATGTACATTCTAACAATATTAATTCTTCTAATCAATGAGGATGGAATATCTATTTCTTTGTATTATCATTAGTTCCTTTCATCACCATCATTGGTGTTCTGTGTACTAATTTTTCATCTCCTTTATTTATTACTAAGGGGGCGCCTGGGTGGCTCAGTCGGTTAAGCATCCAACTTCAGCTCATGATCTTGTGGTCTGTGAGTTCAAGCCCTGTGTCGGGCTCTGTGCTGACAGTTCGGAGCCTGGAGCCTGCTTCAGATTCTGTGCCTCCCTCTCTCTGCCTGTCTCCTGTTCGCACTCTGTCTCCCTCTCTCAAATAAACATTAAAAAAAATTTTTTTAAGTGTATTCCTAGGTATTTTATTATTTTGGATGCAATTATATATGGGACTGCTTTCTTAATTTCTCTTTCTGATAGTTTGTTTTTAGTGTATAGAAATAACTGATTTTTGTTTATTGATTTTTTACCCTACCACTTTACTGAATTTGTTTCTTGGTTCTAACAGTCTTTTGGTGTAGTCCTTATGGCTTTTTCTATATATGATATGATATCTTCTGTGCACAGGGACAATTTTGGATCTTCCTTTTCTATTTGGATGCCTTTTTTGGTTTTGCCTAAATGCTATGACCACAACTTCCAATACTATGTTGAATAATAGTGGGGAGGTGAGGCATCCTTGTCTTTTTCCTGATCTTAGAGGAAAAGCTCTCAACTTTTCACCATTGACTATGATATTACTTGTGGGTTTGTATATGGCTTTTATTATGTTGAGGTATGTATGTTCTCTCTTTAACCACTATGTTGAAAGTTTTTTATTGTAAATGGATATGACTTTTGTCGGATGCTTTTTCTGCATGTATTGAGGTGATCATTTGATTTTTATTTTTCATTTTGTTACTCTGTATTACATTGATTGATGTGCACATGTTGAACCATCCTTTCATCCCTGGAATAAATCCCACTTGATCTTGGTGTGTGATTATTTTCATGTATTTTAGAATTTGGCTTGCTAATATTTTTTTGAGGATTTTCACTTATGTGTGCATCAGGATTATTGGCCTGTAATTTTCTTCTTTTTTTGTGGTGTCCTTGTCTAATTTTGGTATCAAGGTAATACCGGCCTCAAAAAATGAGTTTGAAAGCATTGTCTCATCTTCAGTATTTTGAGAAGGCTAGATACTAAATCTTTGAATGTCTGTTAGAATTACCAGCTAACTGGCTAATCTTAGATTTTTGTTGTTGTGAGGTTTTTGATTACTGATTCAATCTGTTTGCTATTATAAGTCTATTCAGATTTTCTCTTGTTCTCGATTGAGTCTTGGAAGTTTGTTTGTTTTCAGGCACTTAATAATTTCTTTCTAGGTTGTCCAGTTTGTTGACATGTAATTGTTCATAGTAGTCTCTTATGATCCTTTGTTTTTCTGTGGTATTGGTTGTAATTCTCTTTCATTTCTGATTTTACTTATTTGAGCCTGCTTTCTCTTTTTCTTGGTGAGTCTAATTAATGTTTGTTCTTTGAAAAGATAAACAAAATTGACAAGCTCTTCGTTTCATTGATCTTTTCTATTGTCATTTTAGTCTCTCTTTATTTCCCCTCTGGTTTTTATTATTTCTTTCCATTGGTAGGCACCTGGGTGGCTCAGTCAGTTAAGCATCCAACTTCGTTTCAGGTCATGATCTCACGGTTCGTGGGTTCAAGCCCCACTTCAGGCTCTGTACTGACAGCTAGCTCAGAGCCTGGAGGCTGTTTCCGATTCTGTGTCTCCCTCTCTCTCTGACCCTCCGCTGTTCATACTGTCTCTATCTATCTCAGAAGTAAGCAAACAAACAAATAAAATATTATTTCTTTCTATTAACTTTGCAATTCATTT